TCAGTTCGTTCCTACAGGCAGAGGACGCGGTTACAAGCGGCGCTTGTTACTCTTCCCTGCGGCGAAAGAGCAGACATCGTTGTTTGAAGAGGAACCCGTTACTTACAGCGTCTCACGAATTCACAACGTTGGATTATTGCCTGCATCCAGCTGAAGAGAGAAAGAAATAAAAAAAAAATTGATATATTTAGCTTAAATAAACCGACATTTCTCGTGACATTAAGACGTTCGGTTTCGTAAGAAACTGTTATCATTTGACGTCGTGTCTTAAGGCCGATGTTATTTTTTCTTTATTTATTCATTTATTTTATTGTGCAAAGCAGACGACGTGTTTTTTTTTTGTTTTTTAGTTAATCATGTCTGATGATGATTTAGATTTTCCATCTGCTGGGTGCTTCAAAAATGACTTGATAATGTGTTTTTTGTTGGGCATAGAAAAGATAATTACCTAAAATTCAATTAAAAATTTCACGGCTACGTAGAAGAGAATATTTTAATGCATCCCGAGTGAATAGAATTTATTCTTTTTTTTCACAGAGAATCTCTGAACACATATGCTTCCTTGCACATAATGTCACTTTCGAGTTTACCTATGCCTTTAAAAATAGCACCATTTTGCAAAATTATATTTACATAAAGCCTTACTATTATTAGATTTCTACATTTGCGTCTTCAAAAAATATCGAGTTTAGACATAATAATTATTTTAATCAAATTTATTCTTCAAAAATTAAATTACAATTATATTTTATTCAGTTATGTAGTCACCATTATGTCTAATGTCTTGCTGCATATTATTAGAGAACTCTTCGACAAATTTTGGGTAACATTCTATGGGTTTTGATCTGAAAAGGTTTTCGTCGAACTCTTGAATCTGGTTTGCATTGGATTTTTTTTTTAATTTCAAATGAAGTCGTTTTCCAGAGATCGAAGAAAAGCTAATAATCGATTGCTTGAAAATCTGTTGGTTATGACGGGTCGCATAAAACGGAAGGATCCGAGTTCCAATTTATTTTCCTACTTTATGCGGTCTTGCGTTGCGGTCATTTTTTGGTTTAGTTTATTTTGTTTTACGGGATATCAACCTCAATGGGTTATTTAATGCCGACAACATTTTTAGGATAGATTCGTATGAATAGAATATGTATTCTTTGGTTTAGATTGGTTTAGTTAATTTTGTTTTACGGCATATCAACCTCAATGGGTTATTTAATGCCGACAACATTTTTAGGATAGACTCGTATGAATAGAATATGTATTCTTTGGTTTAGATTGGTTTAATTTATTTTGTTTTACGGCATATCAAATTCAGTGGTTTATTTAATGGGGACAAACCTTTTTATTGCTGGTAATATTTTGTTTTGTCAAAAATCTGTATCTGGTAAAATGTTTCCTTCAAAATTGTATTGCTGGTAATAATTTGTTTCGAAAAAAAGTATTGCTGGTAATAGCTGACTATTCGCCCATAGCTGGGACCCTAACAGGTGCTACCACCCCGGGTCAGGGTGGACCTAGGAACACCAGCAATTAAGAGGTGGTTCCACACTCCACAATTGAGGAATCGGAGAGCCGAGTTCGAATTTCAGACAACTCCATTACATTCACTTTCAGGTTCTATAGCCTTGGATAGCAACTGGTCTAACGCAGAAAGAAATGGCAACCTACTGCGGGAAAAATCTGCCTTGTCAGTCATGTATCAAAAGATACATTATCGCCTAAGCGTATATCATGCATGACACATTACTGACTGAAATTCACTTACGTGCTTATACCCTTGGGAAAAGTGTGAATCTTCTTCTTTTCAAAGCTATGGATAAATAGCAGGACAGACGAGGTTCTATACCCTCGGATGGTAACTGGTCTACTGCAGAAAGAAATGGCAACCTACTGCGGGAAAAAATCTGCCTCGACAGTCATGTATCGAAAGATACGTGATCGCCTAAACGTGTATCACGCATGGCACATAACTGAGTGAACAAATCTGGAATAACTTTTAATGTTTCAGTCTGTCAAGTCCCATGCGTGATAAACGCTTGGGTGATCAAGTCTCTTTTGATTAATGACTGAATAATCAGAAGATATTCCCGCAGTAGGTTACCGTTTCTTTCCGCGATCAAGGCTATTGGGTCAAGCGTGTCCTGCTATTCACCCCATAACTGGGTAGGCGATGAGAAAAGGTGGCTTCATGCATTTCCCAAATAAATGCAACGAACCCAACTGCATAAAAAATGGTGATTTTAAAATGAAATAAAATTGCTCGCAAAATAAATGTAAACAAACTACAAGACCGTTTGTGTATACGAAGAAAGATTATGCCGAATTAAGGTGTCAAATGAAGATGAAATAATTTTATTATTTCTAAATTCTTATAACTTTTACATTCATAGAACGCTGGATGTAAAAGGCCTAAAGAAGGCTACCGCAACAGCTACCCTAAAGTCCGCCTGAAATAGGGCTCCAAAGATAGTTTATAATAATTATGGGGGAACAGTTCATTTCATATTAATATGTTGTAGAGTAAAACTCGGCGTACTTCCTGCTCTTCCCCAGTACTGAGACAATGGACTGCTGCTACTTATAAATAAGGCAAGTAGCCTCATTAGAGTAGGATTTGAATAGTATTTGATTTGCTATTATAAAATTTAAATTTTGAAAAATGGAACGTTATTTTAAAATTGTAAAAAATTGTACATATGTGAACTAGATAGGATTTCATAGAGACTTGAGGTATTATGGTGATTGTAGTAAGAATCGTAATTAAGTATGTAGTATTTTGGCGCAAACAATATTGTATAGTGTTTTATTTTTTTTGGTCATTGACTGTAGTTAGTTAGGTTTGAGATAAGACAGATGATGATCAGTCGTACCACATTTCCACTTTTGTCCTTGTGTCACAACTTTTTTTTGTATTTATACAAAAATAGATATCATTTGATTCACTCAGAGTTTTCCGTTATATGTATGTGAATTTAATAAATCTCTTCTTCTTCGTTTCCTATTCCTCGTCTTCTGTTCCTTCGATACTCTCTCTCTCTAACTATTTTAAATATCCGCCATATTCTGGTAATCTTTATTTTATTTCTTGTGTTCTTATCACACGTCTCTTTCAATGACCCTCTGCTTCGAGTGGCTCCTGGGCCTTTTGTTGGGTGATCTATAGAAAAAAAAACATTAAAAATAATATAACGACTGAAGGCCTATCCGCTTTTAAGAGTAAGACCTATATTTTGTTTTATTCTCTTGTGTTCTTATCACACATCTCTTTCAATGACCCTCTGCTTCGAGTGGCTCCTGGGTCTTTTGTTGTGTGATCTATAATAAAAAAAAACAAAAAAAAAATTAATATAGCGATTGAAGGTCGATCCGCTATTTTATGTCCAGTAAGACCATATATAAATGTCAGCTTACTTATATCATCAAAGTGAGTGTATACATATTGGCACTTTAGCACGCATTACTACGTATGGAAAGGCATATATAGGCAACCCCAGACACACCAGCTGCCAAGGACATCAAATGCAGTACATATGGTGTCATTCTAAGTCACACCATTGCGGCCCCGGTTCTAGTACATGTCGTGTCCCATCGAACCTAATAGTTTACGGGACCTGTCATCGTGAATTATAGGGAATTATTTTCGTAGACTTCGTACTACGTCGTAAAGCCGCCGTTATTCAGACAAACAAGTTATCAGCATTTCAATTTCCTATAAACGAAAAGCAATATAACGCTTTCGTTAAAATAAATCCAGAAAAATGTGCAATGCTCGCTACAAAATCATCGACGGACAGTTCGAATGTTTAATGCTGAGATCGATGACGTCAAGGAGTTGATCGGTTGATAGAATCGATTTAAATAGCAATGCAAACAGACCCCTTGTAGAGACAATTACGTTTCCCGCGGCCCGTTAGTGTCAGAGATTGGAACTTCAAAATAGTTTAATGATTTATGCATGTTTTTGTGGGCAGGGCAAACACTTAAATTATATTTCTCCGTTTCCTTGTATTTTGTTTTTTTGGGGGTTTTTTTGGGTGGGGGCTTCTGTTTTTTTTTTCTTTCTTTCCTTTTATGTTTTTCTTTTTTGTTGTTTGCTTTATCATTTTTTTTAATTGTTTTTTTTTTTTTTTTTTTTTTTTTTTTTTAGGACGATTGAATCCATTCATTTTTCGGAGGAATTATTTTTCTCCTCGCAAGATTTCGGCCGTTTTGATCTGTGCCTGTCTTCAGTCGGACTGCATTTATCGCTTAAGATGCTGGAAAAATGGTCGGGGCTTTGTACATGTATCTTCTGCCAGGCATTTTCTGTACAAGAGTTAGAACAGACCAGAAATGGCGGAATGGTTGACACTGTATGAACTAGATTGGGCGAATCATCACACTCCAGCCTTGACAGAGTTCAAACTCAATTACGTAGCTCTAGAAGAGATGATTTCCACATACGCAATGACGCAGTCTTATCACTTCTCTATCGCTACCTCCATGGCAAATGTTCAAATAATCCCCATTCTTTAGTCAAGTCAGACTTTTTACAGCCAAAACGAAATTTGCTTCATCCACAGATTTGAATCATCCTCATTCTGCACATATTCCTTTTCTAAAAAAAAAGTGTTTTTCACTACGAAGGCTTCCTCACAAGAACAGCTAAATTTTTGAAGAAGCTCCCACGTGAATACTTTCCGGAAGTCTCAAATTCTACCCACTACCTTTCCAAAGCAGAGACTACGAATCTGGAATTGGAATGAAAGCAGTGATGGCATTTACACTGAATCCATCATGAACAAATCAGGATGTGTAATTGGTAAATATTAAACATTTCAGATATCTCGGCGTATGAATCATTTATAACAAATTAAAAATAGAAGAAAGTGAAGTTGGGTACAAAATAAGCTTCATCAGATGTAGTTTCGACCAACATCGCAAATTGCTACAAAAAAAAAAAAAAAAAAACAGAACATTAAAACTTGAGCCATGTTCTTAAATAGACGCGCCAGATAAAGACTTTAATACAGATAAAAAGATACTTGGGATAGATAGATAGATAGATAGATAGATAGATAGATAGATAGATAATGAACCGACTGAGATAGATAGATAGATAGATAGATAGATAGAATAATGAACCGATGAGATAGATAGATAGATAGATAGATGATACCGACTAGATAGATAGATAGATAGATACCTGATAGATAGATAGATATAGATAGATAGATAGATAGATAATAATGAACCGACTGAGATAGATAGATAGATAGATAGATAGATAGATAGATAGATGAGATAGATAGATAGATAGATAGATACCTGATGATAGATAGATAGATAGATAGATACAGATAGATAGATAGATAGATAGATAGATAGATAGATAATAAAATTAGATAAACAGATAAGAACAAACTTAGATAAGAACAATTTTAGATAGATAGATAGATAAGAACAAACTAACATAACAAATTTACATAACAAACCTAGATAGATAGATAAATAGATAGATAACAACAATACACACTTATATGAACAGATAAAAAAGAACAACCTAGATATAAAATTTTAGTTAGTTAGATAGATAGATAGAAGAACATAACTAGATAATAATAATTTTACAGTTAGTTAGAATAGATAGAATAGATATAGATAGATAGATAGATATGATTAACAGAAACAAATTTAGATAAATAGATATGTTGATAGATAGAAAATTAGATAGATAAAATAGAAATAGATTAGATAAAATGAGCAATAGATGGATAGATAACAAAAAACATAGATAGATAGATAGATAGATAGATAGATAGATAATGAACGAACTGAGATAGATAGATAGATAGATAGATAGATAGATAGATAGATAGATAGATAGATGAGCCGACTGTGATAGATAGATAGATAGATAGATAGATAGATAATGAACGAACTAATTTGGAAATAGATAGAAATAGAACAATTTAAAGAAAGAAAGAACAATTTAAATAGATTGAGATAGATAGATAGATAGATAGATAGATAGATAGTATCTGTTTCCTTGCAAGAAACTATTCGGTACTCATTGACCAAACAGCCAGTGTTCCTTTCGGTTGAAATTTATAAATGTTTTCTCTCAAATTTTCAGAAGACTTGACTTCCTAAATCCGGTATCTCTCATAGCTCTTCCTAGTATTCACAGGGTTTTCCTTTCTAACCTTTTGTTTGAAGTAGTGTAGAACGCCAATAGCTTGATTATGTCATTATTTCCCCTGCAAGTTACATATGTTATCCATTTGAGTTTCTGACGAAAGTCCTCAAGTGATGTGGTTTATCTCTTTTAGCGTACGGTTTTTGTTTGTGATTCTGTAGCGCCAGTTCTCCAGTATTCCACGCTAAACTCTACAGGCTACAATCATTCGCAGCCATTTTACCCTTTGATCTGAGAAAACGGTTGCATTCAGCTGATGGTTTATGTATTTCTGAACGGGTTTTGCGCCATGCATGACATTCATTTGTAAGTATCAGTCAGGACAGAATATATGAAATCGGGGCGCGATATTTCGTGTTATGTTTTGGTTTTGTAGCAACTGGCGGTATTGCAGGAAACTACTACACGCGCAGCCTATTCTATCTTCAATTCCCACGTATTCAATGCTAAATTTGTTACAATTGATCCATACAGCTAAGTAGGCATCTGAAATCTTTAGATAGGAACCGTCGCTTCAATACGAATATTGGGTTCTTCAATCAAAAATAATGACAATTGTTTCCGTTTGTCCATTCTTCGATTATTGCTCCCACACCCGCTACTCCAACTATATATTTAGAGATTCTTTATGCAATGCAAAAAAAAGAATATGCAATGTTAATGGCCTTTATCTGGCACCCAGGCTTCAGTGACTTTCCCACTGTCGTAATGTATCTTTCAAGTTCCTTTTCTATAAATACTTTCATGGTAATTGTTCCGATGAAGAATTTCGCTATGGTATCTAGAATTTATTTACTTAAAAATAGTTCTAGATTGGTGGTTATACGTTTTAAGGTGTTAATTAATCTATGATAATTTTATGTTTGATATGAATTTGTAGGGATGCAAAAGAAGATTATCTCCTTTTGTTGGAGATGCATCACGTGACGGCCGCTTAGTGACGTCAATCCATGCAATGACTAAAGCGGCTGTCAAATTTCAGTTTGTTTACAGTAGCCATCACATGAGCAGCTGACAAGTCCATGGTGATGTTTCCTTTTGGGAATGTATCCATATATAGAATGAATCTCCAGCCCGCTGAATCTGGAGTCTTAAACACGGCTTCTCCAGACACAGGAATGTCTCCATATTATATGTAAGATCATTACTTTTTATTTCTCGTTACACTCTGCTTTGCTGTGTAAATACAGTTTCCGATGGTTTAACTACACTGTATAGTAGGGTCAGTTGGGCATCGTCTATGAGAATAAGAGCACCATGACAGAATTCGCTCAGCCTGAAATTTGGAAATATGAACATTTCAGACTGTTTGGCCGCGAATCTGACGAGAGTGAAGAGGTTCGGAAAAATTTGGATGAATCTAATGGTGATTACGAATGTTTTTGGCATGATCACTAGTGATTTTAACGTTATGACTCCGTTCGTCACCTCATAGTGCCTCACACTCAACACGGAGGATTATATCATGAGCATTGAGGAGGTAGTGCTGACCTGGGTCAAGTGAGTGGCTGCTGGAAGACCCTATATATGGTAACAGAACTCAGCGACATGCCACACAAGCAAGAGTACATAGCCATGGCTGTCAGATAATTACTGCGACCACATAACCTCTTACATCTAGCCACTGAACTCCGCAGACTGCAAACCCATTGTTTGTTATGTGCGGGTCACAATTGAACGAGAGACCAACAAAACACCTTGTAACACCAAAGACGAACGGAAGGCATGTTTTAGGGCAGCATTCACCAACTTAAACAAGGAGAACGTTCAGATGAGTTGCTGGAGATTCCGAAGTCGTCTAGAGACCGTGGTTGATTGAAGCCATTGGCGATTTTATTGAATAAGTTTACTCTTTAGTATTCCCAGATATTTTTCTGGAATTTTGATAAATGTGTACCTGTTAAAATAAGATGTCAGTGTTGTTTTAATCTTTATGTAATTTAGATGACAATTTTTCCATCGGACACTGTAATATGTAATATATTATTTTTCGCGTGTGAAACATGTGTATATGGTCTTGTGTATGACTTCGTAGTATAAATGTCGCTCCGAGAATAGGGCATGTTTATCTTCCTTTTTCTTTCATCCATTCCGTTCCGTCCGGTAAGCACAGTGTTTTTTTTTTTTTTTTTTTTAAAGCAAGGCGTGAAGCCACTAGGATGCAGGGTGTTGCAGAAGATTTGGAGCGAGAGCAGATAGGAGTGATAGAAAAAAGGATGAAGAGAGTGATAGTGAATAGATCAAGTTAACTGGAGATGTCGATTGACATTACTTTTGAATGGTTGGAGATTATAGCTCTCAGGGGAACAGTAATAGGAAAGGGTGTTCCACAGCCGAGAGGTGCGAGGTATGAAGCTATTGGAGTAGAAGAGACGGCTACATTTATTAGTTTCAACAGTGAAAGGGTGAGAGCGGGATGCCAACCTCGTAGGGCGCTTGAATTCATGAAGTCTGGGAACCAGTGAAAGCAGCTCATCGGAGCAATTACCATGAAAGTATTTGTAAAAAAAGACAGAGAGAGGCGACGGCGCGTCTATGAGAGAGCAACTGCAGACGAGATGCCAGATCAGGGCCAATTGTTATTACATTACGGATATAATAATGCCCACAACGGAGGAAATCAAAATCGAAGAATAAATCTTTCTTTCGTAGATCTCTCATGTTACATATTCAGTATATTAATCTATATATTAATCAACTATGAAAAAAATATTGTCGTTAATTGAAAATTAAAAAAAAAGGAAGAAAAATCCAAATATAAACAAAGTTTATTTTGTGAGAAAAATTGAGACAAAAAGACGTTCAATTAATTACGCTGATTCGCGAACAACAAATATGGCCGACATATCCAACACCTTTTGTTAAAAATTTTATTAACACCTACCTACTCTGTGTTTTATTATCTATTAGTCTACAAGTGCCGTCAAAAATGACGGAAAGTTGTTAATTTTTAAAAGTGAGATGCCATGAAACAAATGTTTTGAAACAAAATATTAAGATTCAATAAACCGGAGATGAAGACCTCGCAAGTAAAATAGAGGCTAACTGTTTAATTAATACTTTCGCTTCCTATTTTTTAGACGTTTAATGACATTTATGATTCATTGATCACTCTTGTAATTATATTAATCGCATTTTTAAGAGCTACGTAGGATAGGAAGTAGTGAAGAGCCATGATCGCACAAAGAAGAAGATATAAACCAGTGGAGGTTGGTTTCCGGGATATTGATATGAGAATAAAATATTCAAAATGAGTAAACTGAAAAGGTTGTATAGCTATGATTTATAGATTACCAGCAGGCTTCGCCCGGTCGCTATCGATTCGCAAAGTAAGATATATTGAATAATATATCTTACTTTGCGAAGTATATCTTACTTTACTTATATATAAAGTACATGCATTGTACTTTATATATAAGATTAGTCTACCTGTGCCGTCAAAAATGACAGCGATTTCTTAAAGATTTTTAAGAGTGAGATGTCATGAAAGAAATGTCTTGAAACAATTTATTGTAAATCAATAAAGCGGAAATAAAGACCTCACAAGTAAAATGGAGGCCAATGAACCGTTTAATCAATCCGCCCTCTTCATAATGTTTAGACATTAAATGATTCATTGATTACTCCTGTTATTATATAAATCGTATTTTGCTCAATAACATTTCATGTTAAAAACTTTAGTGAAATGGAAATATCTCTCGAAAAAAAAATTAGTCAGAGGACGACAAAGTATATTTCAAGGCTAAGTTAAACAAGAAGAAAAATGTGCCCCACATGATAGGCTTTAACAAATGTGACTGCAATTTAAGAAACGTAAAGGAACTGTTTAATTAAACGGTTAATTTTTCTCGGGGACTAAAAATTTGTCTAAATGCAGGTAAATATTTTATTTGTACAGATTATTAAAACCACTAAGGTAATTAATCACTCATAAATTTATTAACTTATCTTGATTTACTTCTCTTCCCATTACAAATATATAAATAAGTAGAACTTGATAATTATTGTATGTACAAATATTATATATATATTATATATTATATATTGTGAACAAAACTGAGCCAAAAAGCCGTTCAAGATTGGCGAAGGACAAATATGGCCGACATATCAAACACATTTTATAAACAATTGTTAAAGATGCCTGCATTCTGATTTATTATCCATTATGCTAGCCAAGCGTATTTGCAATATTTCTAATTCAAATAAGAAGATTTTTCAGCTGAGTAAAAATTTCTGAAAATGTGTATTTAGGTAAAATACGACAATTGACTTCTTCGTCTCACTTTTCTTTCAAACGTTATCTTATTAACCACAAGAACATATGGTAGAAACTAAAGGCACCAAATGTGCTCAAATGAGAAAAACAGAACGAAATTTTATCCCTGCTAATACATATTTATTTACGTCAAAAGTGAATATGCGTACCGTGTGCAAAAGATGTTTTGTGAAAACATCATTGAAGGGCCGTGTAAGACTTCAGATCTCTTTCTTATTATATTAGGTTGGTGCAAAAATAATGTCGTCTTTTGACGTTCAACTTAACGTCAAAAAACGGCAATATTTTTGCACCAACCTAATAGTTACCAAAACAAAAGTGTTGACTCTGTTTCAATTCGTAGATCATCCAAAGATTACTTGAGCCAAGAGTATGCTGGATTTTACAAGGGCTTGAATGTACCGTTGACCTGTAGGATGATTTTTTTTAATATTTTCCTTTTCAAGCGAAAATTTATTTTCGTTTAATCTTCTAAATACTAACTCGTGTTTTAAAGCGAATATGACCGCTGAATGCGGAAGCAACCTTTTCAATTTTTCTGATCATTAAGCAAATAGAAAAAAAAATAGACAGGATGTAAGAAAATTGATCGTATTAAAACTCATATGTTTAATGATAGAAATGGTGGACGGCTGCTGGTAAAATAATATTAAAGAGAAAAGAGAAAGAAAACGACATTTAATGTATGTTGAAAAATAAAGAAAAATAAGAACGGAAGTACGTGGAAAGAAAGAAAGAAAGAAAGAAAGAAAGAAAGAAAGAAAGAAAGAAAGAAAAAGAAAGAAAGAACGTATGATATGTAGAAGAAATATAAAATGAAAAATATGATTTCAATTGAAAGAAAAGCGAAAATAGAAAGAAAGAAAGAAAGAAAGAAAGGTATAAAGAAAAAGAAACTGTTGAAAAGTGAAGAAAAAGAATGAGAAATTAAAAGCAAAACGATAAAAGAAAGAAAGAAACAAAGAAAGAAAAAAGGAAGGAAGGAAGAACGATTGTTCTCTTAATTTCCGCTTCAAAACTTATTTTCGAATTTTCTGTGAGAAATTAGAAATTCCCGATCGTAAATTTAGGGTGTTAATTAATTGTTCTATAGGAAGAAAGTGTCGCTGACGGCACTTGAGTTCGAACATAGATCGACAGTGAGCAAACACAGGCGATCCTATTATTAGATTAACTGGATCACGTGACCATAGAGGAAACGCATATATAGATTGATTGTGATTCCTATTTTATCTTCTATTACTATTCGGATCGTTATTTCTACTCTATCCCTTATTATAAACGTACCGCTATTCTTTTCCCTATTCACTATACTATTTCTTTATTCGGATCACTATGCGGCTTACTATTCGAGCGAGTATTATCAAGCAAATGCTATTAGTGTTAGTGATATTTGATGGCATCTGACACCAGTATTGTTCAACGGCGTTACTATAGTTGTATCTGCGATTACAAAGTCTCTACTACAACGAACATCCCACAAGTAACAACAAGTGTTTGTTGACACTACAAAATTAATCTAGCATATTTTTCTCTTTGATATGACTTCATTATAGTTTTTATATATTATAAAATATGAAAATTTAAAAAGGAGTGTCATTCTTTAAGAACGAAGAGTGAAAAGTATTAAAAGAAAACACCGGAAAAAAATTGAATAGATTTTATCTTGTGAGCAGAACAGAAATGAAAGCGCTCCAATTCCGATGATTTCCAAAGAACATATATTACCGACATATTGAATATCTTTTGTAAACAATTGCTATCAACACCTGCCTACTTGGTATTTTTTTTTAATTATCTGCTGTTCTGAGTGGTTTTGCAATCTTGTTGTTTCAAATAAGAGTTGTTTTTTTTTATCTGAATAAAAGTTTTTGGAAAATACGAAACCTTTTGTCTTTAAAATGTCTGTATTATACACAAGAGAATATGCTATGCTATGATTCAGAAATAACCATCAACTGAAAGAAAATATTAAGAAATATCTCTTCAGATAATTTGAAGATAATACCTGTAAATTTCAACAACGTTTTGCATCAGCGAAAAGGACACATTCCTACTGTTCTTTTATAACAAACCTCATCCCTTTTGTATTCCAATGGAGCGACCTAAGTTCTACTCGAACAGGTTCTTCCCACGAACATTTACTTTGTGGAACCTTTTCCCAAGAGAATTGTTGTGGTACGATCCACCTAATTTACATAGTGGAGTACCGACCATATAAATATGGTTGGTACCGGGAAGACGGGAGAGGAAGAAGAGATCCAATCCAGGGACTCTGCCCGACTGCGACTAAGTCAACCCATTCTACAGGAACGGTCTTCCCAAGAATATACCAAACTATCTGTAAATATTGTGTACACGTTCTTGTTTCAATACATTTTGTTTAAGTACATTTTGTGTTGTATTATTATTATTCCATGCTTTATTCAAGTTTCAACAAGAATACTTCCTAGATCATTACAATCTTAACCTGTTCAAGTCTAGGGTTAGTCATTATCTTACCCACATATCCTCACATAGTGTACCTCTTACTTATTAATCTGTGATCCTTTTCCTCTAGTGGACTTTAGGCCTAGTACTGGTAGAATATTATTGTAAAAAAATAAATCAAAAACACTGGTGTTAACTTTATACCCCAAGAGAAACCTTCTGGGTTCTTCAGTTCAACAAGAAACTATGTTCACCACTGAAAATTACCTATCTAAATATATCAGTCAGAAGCCAATAAAAACTAGTCTGGTGTTTGGAAAGTCAGTGTGTACTTCAGGATCTGCTAGATCAGAGTTATGCCAGCCAGGTGAATTTATTTATTGCCCGTGTTGTAATGTTAATAAAAGATAAACAAACGAGACTAAATTTCTCATTCAGTTCGGGATTCTGTCAAATTAACGTCGGCCCTAACAAAGGTATGTGGTCTCCAGGTCTATCTGCGAACGTTTGATCTCCTTCTTTCTGTAGGACGGACTGTGTTTCTTCCATCGTAAATCGGGCGTTCCTGTTATCCGTACTTCGTGTGTGCATATCCTCAGTTTAAATAGGTTTAATTCTTAGCTAAGTTTGATGTTATCTTAGACATTTTTTGAGTACCGATGTTGCCGTTGGTGGATATGAGGTCATCTTTTAGGTCAAGCCTCAGTGCTATCAGATGTTCTGAATTTTTGAAGTGACGCCAAGTACAAAAATTAGAGCGAATTATACGCCGTGCATATTGGGCTCAGAAGAGATCAAATCTTCTTAGATAAAGGTTCCTGATGAACACTAAATTCGATTCAGACATTTTGCATTGTTATAGTAATTTAGCCATGCATGCATGGACTCTACACGATATAAATAGGAGCAGGTACTGCCTTTTGGTGTGTGAGGTTTCAAGCAGTCTCTTCTGACTGTCGGACCAAACATTCCTGCTGGAACACTATCGTTTGTAAATGTTTGGCATTACTGTTTCTGTTGATATATTTGTTTAACTCAGTTCCTCGACCGTGTCTTTATTTCTGGCCCTAAATCGACACCAGATAGATAGATAGATAGATAGATAGATAGATAGATAGATAGATAACTGATAGATAGATAGGAACAAATGAGATAGATAGATAGAACAAACTGAGATAGATAGATAGATAAACTAGATAGATAGATAGATAGATAGATAGATAGATAGATAGATAGATAGATAGGAACAGACTGAAATGGATAGATAGTTTTATGGTAATTTACCCACGGACGCGTGTTTGTATTACTGTTTCTGCTAATATATTTGTTTAACTCAATTCCTCCCTTGTGTCTTTATTTCTTGCTCTAACAAGGCCACAACAAATAGATAGATAGACAAATAGATAGATAGAAGGATAGATAGATAGATACGAACAAACTGAGATAGATAGATAGATAGATACGAAAAGACTGAAATAGATATATAGTGTTATGGCAATTTACCCACGTAGGCATGAACTCTCCCAGCTGTAAATAGGAGCAGTTACTGCCTTTTGGAAAAGGAAGTTTCTAGCAGTCAGCTCTGAGAGTCGGACCGAATATTCTTGCTGTAACACTCTTGTTTGTATATATTTTATTACTGTTTTCTGTTAATATATTTGTTTAACTCAATTCCACACTTGTATCTTTAATTCTAACCGTAACAAGGCCACAACACGTATGTTCTGTTGTGAATTTCATATGACATAGTTTGGGATTTCTCTTCGAGTATTAAACCAGTTAACCCTAGTACATTAACCATGGGTCTATAGTACCCAGCGCAAATTTTCCTATTTTTATTTACAATTTTCAGTATCTGATTTTCTTACCTAAATAATATGTTTTTTCAGTTTCTATTAACGTTAACTCGAAGTACAAAATTTGAAGTACCTGCATCTAAAATATTTCAAATAAAGATTTATATTTAATATTTTTTTATGGAATTTCCAAAACGGTTAGTAGTGGTGTAACTTCAATTGATGGTTGGTGTTCTAGGGTGAATAATGTTTCTGAAAAAAAAACAAAAAAAATAAAAACAAAAAAACAACAAAAAAAAGCTGATATCGAGAAGACGAATTTTGAAAGAGAGAATCATATCCTGTTTCTACTGGTCTTAGAATCTCTAAACATATATCTTACCATATATCCGTTGCTCCGGTAATCATAATTCGAGGCTTGACAGATATACTGAGACTGAATTGACGACAAAAGCTCGACATCCGATCTCAAGCGGAAAATGCATTGTTTGCCAACCACCCCTTAAACAATTCATCATTTTTTTCTCAGATTTCCTTTATATGTCCTGTTGATGCTAGCCTCAAATGGCGTCGCTAATCTAATATGAACGTTTGGTAGGTGGAAAACAGACAGTCTGTAAGAAATATTATATCAGCAGGAAAATCGAAACGAAACAGTCAAAAAACCCCTCCAACAATGTCGGTTTATATATCTTTCTACGACCCCTTTTCTTACTAGCTTCTGTTATGATATTTATTTATGATTTTGGTGGTAGGTGGATCTTTGTATGCAATCCAGAACCTCTATCGCCTGTTTGGGCTACAACGTATCAGCTTCAAGAGATGGCTCGTAACTAAAAAGGGGCGCGTAGTATTCCTAAATTGACTCGGTTTGAACTAGTAGAAACCCACAGCAACAGCCTAAACGACGCTACGAAAGATGTTATATAATGCCTTTCTCGGTTCACCTTTCTGATGTCATTTACCTGATGTAACCGGCATCTATTTGATATTATTTACCTTCTCTCTACATATCTTCTTCTTAACATATATATATATATATATATATATATATATATATATATATATATATACATAACGTGTGTATAAATATATCTATATATATATATATAATGTGTGTATATATATATATATATATATATATATATATGTATGAATAATGCATATATATATACATTTTATGTATAATGTCTGTGTATATATATGCATATATAATGTATGTATAATGTGTGTATATATAGATGTATGTATAATGTGTGTGTATTTATATATATATATGTATAATGTGTATATCTATATATCTCTATATATATGTATATATATATATATATATATATATATATATATATATATATATATATATATATATATTATTATGTGTGTGTATGAATATATTCCTCCCAACTATATGCATATATATATACATACATACATACATTGAATGTCTCACATGTCGAACAAACCCATTTTCGAACAGAAAATTCCAGATGAAAATATCTTGGTTATCGAAGAAATTTTCGGTTCTCGATAAACATTGCCGAACCGAGTTAACCCGAACGGAATAATTGCTGTGTCGACCGCTGTGTTGTATACATTCGTGTATTATGGCGTACTTTCTTTTTGCCAATTTTATTCTACTGTGACTTTTTTCACTTCATTGATTCCTATTGGAAAATTTGTTTCATTTTCTGAACATTTCGTGTTACAAACGGCTTTCAGGAAGGAATCAAATTCGTGAACAGAGGTTCTACTGTATAAGAATCAACTGAAATATATATATATATATATATATATATATATATATATATATATATATGTTGAGCACATTTTAGGGGCAATTCTAATGTCTTTTGATTGAGATATTTGTGATGGATTCATTTCCTTTTTCTTCTTGATCTTCTCGTTTTTCTTCTTCTTCCTTTTATTATTATTATTATTATTATTATTATTATTATTATGACTAAGGAAAAATATAAAAAGATTTACTCAGTATACTTGAATCTGGTGTGAAGTCAAATGGAGGAAAAATTTATATTTTTATTATACAAATGGGATATGTTTTCCTTTATAATCAACAATATGAAAACCCACTCTAAACCGATGACTGACGGTGGCTTATATGACTGTTTTTTTCATCACTGCTGCCACAATATATATATATATATATATATATATATATATATATATATATATATATATATATATATATATATATATATACATACAAACATACACACACATCTACATACATACATTTATACATATATATATATATATATATATATATATATATATATATATATATATATATATGATAAAATTATTGGTAATCCGTATGGAATTTCCAAGAGGACATAGATCCGTTGTGGGCTCTGTGTCAAAAGACGGAGCAAAAGATATTATATAATGACAAGCACTTAAAAAAAAACTTAAAAACTTTTTAAGAAAATTTAAATAGTCTTGTTTTTAAGTGTTTGCTTGCCACTATATATCTATATACATATATACATATATATATATATATATATATATTTACATATGAACATACAAAATTATGAATAAAAATAGTAATATACTATCTATCAATCTTTATTTCTTTGTATTTCTCTTTCTCGCTCCGTTTCCCCCCACTCTATTAACTTGTCCCTCTTGTCCTAACCGGTTAGAAGTGGGCGGGTGATAGCATGGGAGCCGCTTTTCAACGTAAAATCTCTTAAGAGATCCTGGGGGATATTTTCTTATCTTCTGGGGACGATGTGTGAGGTCCTGTAACACTCGTGAGAAACCTTCCAAAGTTCGGTTTATGAAGTTATGAGCTCCTATATATATGGGAAGACTGAGTTCCATATCTGTGGTTGGTAACCATTCTAGCCGACGGTTAACTCCAGATTCGAAATATGAAGAACATTGTTTGCTGACTTTGTAACACACTTTGAACCAGTTTTTCCGAAAAGTGTATCCGCTCTCCACATGGCGTCACCATTATTATCATCATCATCCCATGTTTGAATAGTCGAGGGAATTATTTCTAGGAAGAGAGTTGTTAGATCCTAATACTTCAAAAAACATCAAGATAATCCACTAATCGTGTAACAGCCAGTCAATCCACTAATCGTGTAACAGCCAGATAATCCACTAATCGTGTAACTGCAAGATTGTTCAATTGTTAGATTAAGCTTTGAACTATTTTATCTTAGAAATGATTAAAGATATCTTACTGGAATTCTCCGTGTTTTTATAACAATATTAGATTCTACTTTGATTAATAAGAATGTACGTAGCTCTAAGTTTAAATGATCATTCCTCTTCCTGCTGTAACCTCCTGGTCCAGGTTTTCTCACTACTGTTCCCTCTTTTTAAAACCTATTAACTGTTCTCTTGAATCTTCTTGAATGAAATTTGAAGATGGAAACCAGAGCATGAATGTTGGTACCATTACTGAAGGCCTGAATGATATTTTTTCTCTCACCATTGCCCAGTTGGGAAGACAGTGGCTCCGACACAAAATGATTTTAATCTGTTTTCTTTCTAACTGAATAATTCAAATGTTTTTTCAGTGATTCTTGATGGCTAAACATCTTATCTGAAAACTTGGAAAAAAGAAGATAGATAGATAGATAGATAGATAGATAGATAGATAGAAGACAAGAAATAGATACATACATACACACGAATGTACTGAGATTGATATATACGAATAGACTGATATAGATATATATATAGAGAGAGATAGATAAATAGAAAGAATGGAAGAAAGAAAGAAATAGAGAAATAGAAAGAAAGAAAGAGAGATAGATAGATAGATAATGATAAAATTAGATAGATATATATAAGACAAAGAAATAGATAGATACATGCGAATATACTGAGATTGATATATGCGAATAAACTGATATATATATATATATATATATATATATATATATATATATATATATATATATATATATATATATATTAAGAAGAAGATATGTAGAGAGAAGGTAAATAAAATCAAATATATACAGGTTACATACAAAAGAAATAGATAGATACATGTAAATATACTGAGATTGATATATGCGAATAGACTGATATATATATATATATATATATATATATATATATATATATATATATATATATATATATATATATATATATTTTTTTTCAAAATCTCTTTCTTAAAGATCGTTAGCAAATGACCTTTAAAAATAAACAAAATAATTAAATAAATAAAAACAATAAATGAAAAATACATAATTAAGTGCTAATAACATAGAAAGACTTATAACACTGACATCATCATCAACTCTCTTTCGTTTAATAGGCCATCAAATTACATCGTTCATAGTGTGCCTTTCTTTTGCACAGAATAGAATATTTTAAAAATTTCAGAATATTTTGAGCGTGCACGAATTCAAAATTTGAAAAATTAACGTTATTTTGTCTATATTGGGGACACATGGCCCAGTGGATAAAGGCATTGGTTAGATCCAGTGACAGGTCCCAAAGAGTGTGAGTTCAATACCCGATTAAGGCAGTGGAGAACTTTCAGAGGGGAATTAACAGGAGATAACTGATAACTGACATCCATTAAACATGGCACGTGGAATTAGAACAGTCTACCATAGTGAGTGAAATAAAAGGTTCAGTTCGACATTCTAACCACCCGAAGAAGGCCGGAGCGTACAGCGGCCGAAACGTTGTAATAAATATGAGGACAATAGTCCGAATAATGTAACAATATTTTATATTTCGATTTTTTTTTACCTCTGTTCATATAGGATACTAAGTAAAATTTCTACACTTTCTTGGGTCATTGGGGTATAATTTTTAAAATTGTTATTTTTATTTCTCCATCTTCCACAAATAAATTTGTACATATTATTGTGGGGCTCGCCCCTTGTACACGAGATGGACTCGTCCAAAGTATACTTATACTACGAAGAGATAGCGTGAGAAAAACGTCGAGATAGGGTATTCACTCAGAGTTATACGAGAGTCCTGAAAGAGAGATAATTACGGCTTTACTTACAGAGACTTGTACATATACTTTTCTACTAACCCGCATTCCTGGACTACTAATCTTCATTTCAAGTTTATATTCTTACGTTTAATACACAAATCTTCCTATTTCAATTACTGGCGTTTTTTATTTATTTGTGCAGGATTCCATCCCCGGAATCCACAACACATATGCAAACAAGTTAGGACTTTATAGAGACGTTGATTTATTATGGTAGCTCTAGTAAGAATGGCAAGTAAGAATGTGTTTTCGTGTAAGTGATATTGTGGAAAATTAGTGTTAGTAATTGTGGATAGTTAAGTTTAAGTTAAGACAGATTGAAGACCCATCTTTCCCTACCCAACCTTGTGGCCTTTTGCCATGTTTCTGTATTTTTCAAAGTAAATATTACTTGCTTTGTAAAAGATACTCAAAAAGCGAAACGCGTGGGCATAAGAGATTTTCCTCTCGTATTATTTTTTTATTTATTTTCTCGTTAGAGAAATATTTTGATCTAAATGTTTAAACACACACACACACACACACACATATATATATATATATATATATATATATATATATATATTATGAAATGTACAAAGTCCGACAATTATTTTGAGACATTCTTTATGTTTATACGTTCTTTTTGTAGATACAAATATTTAAGTAAATGCTCTGTTTATAATAAACAGTATTAAACAACATTTAGCGGCCTGAATATCCGAGACATTTTCATAGAAAATATGCGTCCTCCGACAGGAATCGAACCTGTATCCTACACGGAACCGTCATATAGCCTGATGTGCTTTACCGATTGAGCCACAGTGGAGCGTTTCGGTTATCAAAGTTGATTTTACTGTTTTTAAACTACAATTCTCCATGATTTTCTCTCGTACATTCATATCTGCTCGATGCGTATCCAAATGTAAACAAATGACGTCACATATTATGAAATGGACAAAGTTTGACAATTATTTGAAGACATTTTTTGTCGTTAATACTGTCTATTATAAACCGAGCATTTACTTAAATATTTGTATCTATAAAAAGAACGTATAACATAAAAATGTCTTAATATATTATAATAATAATAATAATAATCTATTATAATAATAATAATAATCTATTAATAATAAAGTATACCGGTCCGGAAAAAAAACCCTAGTTATTTTGGCTTGTAAATGAACAAACCAATACCCAAGGAAAAATAAGGAATAAAAAAAGAAAGAACTAAGAACATGCAATTGAGGTGAAAACAATCGTCCAGAATCCAAGCTCAGAATCCAAAGGAAAAACCTTCAACACGAGTAAAGTAAAAACAACTAAGCAAAGTGTTCAATACACTAAGTAGAACAAATCTAACTACGAACCTAAAGAGCCAGGCAAACCTACATAGGTTTCACCTACGCGTATCGTCTGCGTACGTCAACACACACACACACACACACACACACACACACACACACACACACACACACACACATATATATATATATATATACATATAAATATAGATAACTAAACTCGTTTCGAAAACCCTGGAATTTTTTATTTGCTAATCAAATCAATGTCGAGGGAAAAAAAGGTTTTAAAAAAAGAAAGAGCTACAAACATGGACTTCTGCCGACAAAAAATCGCACAGATGCAGGTCTGAAGCCCAAAGAAAAAAAAAACCCGATATGTCTGGCTCACTAGGTGTATCTATCTATCTATCTATATATATATATATATATATATATATATATATATATATATATATATATATATACGGCTATACTTTTAGTATTGAGCTTTGTTTTAAATTAACGTTTTGAATGCTGAAATCTTACTCTTCGTTCTTTTACATTTGGATATATATATATATATATATATATATATATATATATATATATATATATATATATATATATATATATATATATAAAGTTAACATAGGAGATAACACCTAGAGGCGACAGTCTGTTTCATGCTATATGCAATCGGCAGGCCACTGTCGCCTCTAAGTGATGACTCCTATGTTCACTTTTATATTTACACACGCTCTATCTCTGATATTGAGCACTTTATCCCATAAATATAGTACACCTTAAGACTTTATTTTTTCATATATATATATATATATATATATATATATATATATATATATAATAATCTTATAAATATAACTAATTATACGTCTGGAAAAACCTTAGGTGTTTTGGCTTGTAAATGAATAAGCCAATACCCAAGGAAAAATAAGGAATAAAAAAAAAGAAAGAACTAAGAACATGAATTGTAGCGAAAACAATAGACTAGAATCCAAGCTCAGAGTCCAAAGAAAAAAAGACTCCAACACGAGTAAAGTAAAAACAACTAAGCAAAGTAAGTAGAGAAAATCTATGAACCTAAAAAGCCAGGCAAATCTACTTATCATACCATTATGGAACCTAGCTAACTTTATGAGCAAATTAAAAACATTCAGGGTCGGATCCAGATCCGAAATACTCGAATTCTGGATTCTCAAGTTTTCATTACAGCGATTGTCTTCGGCGATTTTTTTGTTTTTTCACAGTAAGTTTTGCGTCGTATTTTTTTTGTATGATAACAATTTTTATAACTCGGAAATAAATTTGGGTATAATCGAAATTAATGGAAAAAAAAATCACCCATGAAATAATAATTGTTTGTACAGAAATTAAGGACCTACGTTCATCAAAATGTCTTCAAGTTAAATGACAGCTGAAGAAATACCGTTGAACTATTAAAAGAGAAGCTTAAATATTAATTCAATATTTAAATACTGCGATCAATTTTGAGTTCATCTATAGTTGGCAATCACATCTACTCCTTCCTACATATTTTGATGGAGACCCAATTAAGAGACTAAATGGCGCCAATTAGGGTGTCTTTTAAGCTAGTATATATATATATATATATATATATATATATATATATATATATATATATATAATTTGCTCATTACCGCAAATTATATTTTAAATTTATGCATTCCAAGCTGACATATGGCTTATTATTCTTTGTCATTGCTTTTCTTATTGCCGTTGCCTCCATTTCTATTATTGTTTTATTGATCTACATATTATGTAATTTGTGTCTAGTAGCATTATTGCATTGTTATTGTTTAAATGTTTTATATATATATATATATATATATATATATATATATATATATATAATACTGTTTCGTGGTCTGATACAGATCTGATATATATATATATATCAGAAAATAAGGAATATATATATATATATATATATATATATATATATATATCAGATCTGTATCAGACCAGAAAACAGTATTATTAATATATACTCAACACACGTGTAAAAAAATGAAATTAAAGTAAAAATCATATGCATTCAAATGACCTCCTGACTTTTAAAACTTTATATATATATATATATATATATATATATATATATATATATATATATATATATATATATATATATATACACACACACACACTTTAAAAGTCAGGAGGTTATTTGAATTCATGTTATTTTCATTTTCATTTTTTTCACATATTACATCTATTATTTCCTGGTTTGATTCAGCTCTGACAATTATACTTTTATGTATGATATTTATATATATATATATATATATATATATATATATATATATATATATATATATATATATATATATATAATATGTGTGTGTGCAAATGTTTACTTTTCAAAGCAGATATACATTCCCTAATGTAAAAATACGGATGGTTCGAGCCATTTAACTCAAATCCACTTCTATGAGTCGTCTCCATTCAGGACGTGGGCGATTATAGCACTTCAAATATGCATGCCCTTTGGAGCTCTGACGACAGTTTGTCTTTTCATAATCCTTTCCAGCCCCTGTTCTATCAGTC